TTTTTTTTTCAGGCTTTCCTGTGCCTTTAGTAAACTGTGTTAAAGATCTGCCTGGCAACCTTTTCATATATATCTATAAATATAAAAATTAAATAAATAAATGTGTCCGTAACCAATTCAAACACTGAGTATTTTGATAAGTGCCTTGTTATATGGTGGTATCTGGCTGTTTCTGACCCTCAGCTGTATAATGGCAACTCACATGTGGCTCTGGAAAAATAGTGAGAACTCACAGAATTAAACACCCACACATTCACCTATTGTTAGCAAAGCGGTTGTCCATGTGATGTACGTTGTGCTCGTTCAGCTTGTTTTTTGATTAGAATCCCAACCTTGTCTTGTTTCCTGTAACTTCAGCTGCACGCAGGCCCTTTGAGGACAAGGACAATCACCCAGTGTAAATTAAAAGTGGTTTCTCTCTGTGGTCCTTGGTCGTTTTTCTGAATCATAATGTCAGCTGAAGGTACTGCATATGAATTAATGTAGTTATTATGTAATCATAATGTACCCATCCTCACAACTCACTGCTTCCTAGAAAACTTTAACACAGCTTGAAATCTCCCAGGGTCCTATTTTTCACACAATTAGTCCACTTCAGAGCTTCAGAACCGGAAAAACAAGCTCTAGTTCAAACGGCGGAAAACAACTTTTCAATTTGTTTTTGTCCACATCCCATGTTGCTCACCAACAGCTGAGGCCGAGACGGTGGAGAGGGAAATGGGAGCCAGCCTCAGAGTAAACACTTCACGTCACTGAACACCTGCTTTGCCCTTTTGGTTCCGTGGGAGAAAACACACTGAGGCTGCACTTTAGCACATAACTGCCCTATTTGCTCGGCGCATTCGCCGCAGACAACAATAGCCAAGTGTCTCTCAGGGTTTTACGAGCTGTGGGTGGGTTTGTTCAAGAATTTGGAACTGTTTATCTTACCTGTTAGTTATACAGCTTCAGGTGGCTGTCAGCCAAAAAGAGATTGATTCATGTTATTAAAACTTTAACGGAAGTGTTACTCATAACTGATTCAGTGATAGGTATATCAAATAAAACCTCAAAAAGTATTATAATCAGATTCAAAAGATTGCACAATAGTACTACTACCCCATAGCTATCGCCAATTTTTAGTTTTTTTTTTTTTTACCTGTTAGTAAAAAATGTTGGGTAATAAACTTCTTCCTAAAAGAATCTGAAAGATTTCACCTCACATTCATGTCAAAACATTTGGTTAAAGAATAAKACGATACACCCAAACTAAAGGATTTCTTTGTTATTTTGTATTTTAGTTTAGATTTACTGCATGTGCTATAGTAATAAAGCTTATTTCTGTTTTATTCTGAAATAGTTTCTGTCTTTACACCTTATGTAGCTTTACTTCCTGTTTTATTTTGTAGTGTTTCCTCTGTTGTATATCCTGTTAAGTTTGTTTCCTCTGTTGTATATCCTGTTAAGTTTACGTTTCAGTTTAGTTTCAAACCAAGCACTGGTTTGCTGATTGCTGCATTTGGACTGTGTTAGCCATTAAATCATTTATTTTAAATGTATTTTTTCTGTTGTTTAGTATGCTTTATTTATGCTTTACATCTTTCCTTGCCATGATCTGTTACTTGTGTTTACCACTTTACCAGTCGTTTTTATTTGTCACATTTGAACATTTTATTAATATAATATATAATATAATAAAATCTTGTTTGAGAAGCTCAACAAACCATACAAAGCTTTTAGGGATGAACTCACTTATCAAAATTTTAGGTAGAATTGTATGACAGTAAGATTTCTGCAGGCTCATTAGTTGGCATAAGTTTTTTTTTTTGTTTGTTTCTAAAGCCCACGTTTTCTACAGCTCTTTCACAGTTTTTACTAATATTCAAATAAATTTAGTAACTTTGTAAGTTTTCTAAAAATAATTTAGCAGTAGAGCAAAGGATAATGTGAGTGTGGAGGATGAGTGTGTGAGGATGCGTTATTAATGTGTACAATGTTTGTTCGTTCCACATTTCAACCTCAGTGACCCTACATCCTGTTATAGCTTTGGGTCTTTTTTGTGTGTTTTCACACAGCAGTGTTAAAACAGCAGCATTTTTTTAACAACCAGCTGCTCAGTTACTGGAAATCCTGAGATTGAGTGAACTTACAGGAACAGCAAACTTGCCACAAACATGCTCTCACACAAGCGTAAAAAAGTGCAACAGCAGGGTTGAAAACAAGTTTATGACAACATTTTGTCGCTCACAAAGCCCCTGGCTCCAGGCCAGTGTTGCCCAGGGCCAAACCACAGAGTCCTGACATCAAGCAGAAGGCTGGTGGTTGTCTCATCGTTATGTTACTCACCTTCTGTTTCTGCTCTGAGATTGGTGAATTCAGGAGTTAACCAGCTCCTCCCTTACCCACCTGTGGTATATCAGCCTCCAGGGGTGGGCGGATAAGTCTTCACCAACCCATGAGTCAGGCATTACTATCTATTTTGTTCAGTGACAAGTTTAAACACTTCCAAAATTGGCTTCTTGCATCATTTGCTAATTTGGAGGTACTTGCATCAGTCTACTTAAAGCGATGAAGTGATTTACTAAGCAATAGTGCTTTTGTAATGTGAAAACTCCTTTAATAGACCCTTGTTTAATCCATGGCCAATGTTTTATTTTATTTATTTATTTTTTCCAGTCAGGCGCCAAGGCTACCCAAAGCAGGGGAAACCATCCATGGTCACAAGTTCTTCATTGGCTTTGGTGGGAAGGGGGCCAACCAGTGCGTTCAGGCTGCCAGACTGGGAGTCAAAACTGCTATGATCTGCAAGGTTTGACATCATTATAAAGTTTGCAGCCAAATGCTGCTGTTGTACCATTTGACTGTGAGTTGGTGTTTGGCTTTGTTTAGATTTCTGCATATATTTTTTTTCACTCTTTGAAAAGAAAGTACCTTTGCTTTTGTCCAACCTCTGGCTTGTCCATGTCGTACTCCGTAAAAACAACCATCCATTAGCCACCATAGCTCACCAACTACCATAAAAACAAACATTTTAACTTCATTCAGACATCAGTCACTTCACAACATCAACTGTCCATGCCTCATTTTCTCATGATCAATAACTTAGCACATGTATTCGCCCACTCATGCTCGTACACCTTCAAACAAGCCTATTCCCAAACCATCTAACCCCGAGTCTCCAATCAGTAGGCTCAGCATGGCTCTTCAACCTGAGCACTAAAACACCAAAGCCTCACCTCTGTCAGAACAAAGAGGCTTGATCGATAACAAACTAGTGCGGGAGGAGTTCTCCGGGCATGGGGAGAACCCAAAAATAGACACCCAGGCATGTCAAAAAACATCCAAGACGAAAGGCCGCTCTTTAAAGAGAAATGGGGCCAAGCAGCCAATACCATCCCAACCCACAATCATAGGCAGCTAGAAATGCTTGCATTCTGGCAAGTTTTTTTAGAAAGCGTGGGTTCGAAGTAGATGCCTTGGGGCAAGGTGGGGACCCCTTCGACAACTCGACGTAGCTACAGATGTGGACATCCCAAAGCGAGTAAGGGAAAGAGGGGAAGGAGGGAAGGAAGACAATAGCGAGGTGGGTATGAAGAGGCGTGAAGGCGGGGTTATCGTGTCTTCAAGGCTTGGCGCAGCTGGTCGTGTGTTTGCGAGTGTGTGCATCTCTTGGCTTTGTTTGTTTGTTTTTGCACATTTTCGGCAACGGCACCATGCCAGTATGCTGGCAGGGCACACAACCATCTAGCCCAACTGAGATTTGAGTATTTCACTTTTCAAAAGTTGCCGCTAACCAAGTCTGACCCTACTTGACACTCTCTTTGTTGAAATTGTTGTTGTTTTTTTCAATCTCTTCTAGGTTGGTAAAGACTTCTTTGGAGACAATTATATCCAGAATTTCAAGGACAATGGTGTATACACAGGTAGTGTAACTCTTTTCCTACAACACAGCCTGAATGAATTGCCATTGCCATGGTACTCTGCAGAAAGGTCACATTAAGAGAAATGCTTTATAGTCTTTCACCATTTTATGTTACTTAAGGCTTTGGGAAACACTGGCATGTTTGCTCTAATCTTATAGTCAATAGTGCTAAATTGTTTCTTACAAAGATGCTTTTCAAATTGGACAAAGAAACCTGAAAACTGTTATTAGCCTAATGCYTACCAAGCAACTGGTATGGTTACCATCCCAACATTTTGTCTTTTAGATGTGTGTGATAAAAATGTGAGGGCTTGGAATAAACTTGTCTTTCAGAAAAGCTAAAATATTGGATGCTTTTAAAGTTGCTTTCTCTTTTCTTTCCTGCCTCAGACTTTGTCTGGCAGACTTCAGATGCAGCCACAGGAGCTGCTTCAATCACCGTCAACGACGCAGGTAAACGCTAACCTATACTGCCCTGCTGAGATTCGAAAAGCTCTTTG